TCCCCCCCTTTCCCTGAGGCTCTGCCCGCTGGTTTGTGTGGGCCACCCAGCCAGTCTTTAAGCCAGTGATCTCTTTGCTGTTGGTGTTTCAGAGGCATTTGGACAGTGACCTTAAGAACAGGCTTTAACATTTGGTCAGCCCTGGAGTGGTCAGGCAGTTGGACCAGATGACCATTCTAGGTGCCTTCCAACTGAAATCTTCCCTTCCCTTCAGCTACATCTGCAGCTACAGACAGAGAAGGAAACAAAGGAGCCACATCATCTTTCATGCTCCCAGGACAGCACATGCAGACACCCCAGATGTATATGCTGCCCCAAAAGGGAGTTCTGGCTAAAAGGAACAGGATGTAGACAGAGGCAAGTTTTTTTTAAGAATAGCTATTTTCTGCAGAGCTGGTCTTTGAGAAATTTACTTCATGGCTGAAGGTGGAGAACCACATATGGTCATACATTATTGTCACTTCCCAAATTCAAACACATTTCAAAACAGTCTCTTGAAACTCACTTTCTTTAAATTAAGAAATGAATATGATGGTTGTGCTTCTGCTACAGCAGCTATGCGCCCTCCTCCATGCATCTGAAAGAATAAAACATCTCATAACAGTGCTGAATTTTCATTTTTAGGTATTCCATTATTGCTTGCCTGTGTCTTAAGATCTGTTTAATGCCCAATGTCCATATTCCTATCCACTGCTGACACAGAAATTGCTGTAAGGATTGTTTTAAGGATTCTGAGCTCTCATATCCATTTTAAATTTTACTCAGAAAACAGTACAGGAAAATTACAAGTATATACACTAGCTCAATATCCATATTCCTTGCATCTTAGATGCTGAGTGAATTCCCAGGCAGCCGTGTATGTCTGTTAATATTGCCACCTACAGGAACCCACAGACCAGTGTCTTTTTAGCAATTACACTGCTTATTCTCATAGAAAACTGTAAAAGTGAGACAGGTGAAATAAAAAGACACCCCTTATCACCCAGTTTTTCCCTCGGAAAAAGATTTTTTTATTGACAGCCTTGAGACCACCAGTTGCAGTATTTCTGTATTTTTACTGCAGCCTTGTCTCCCCACACTCACCGTGGCCTTTAACCATCTCCCGGTCCCCAGGAACCCAGGGGGTGGAGAGGAGAGGAAAAGGGTACTGAAGAAGATGGAAAAGACCTGCAGAAGAACCTGAATTAATACCTTGACCTGCTTGTTTTTAATCCTGTAAGGAACCCAGTTTATTAAAAAAAACCAGGAAAAACAGAAGCTGAAGTCTGGTTTACAAGCTTAACCCTGGCAGTAAAGGGGCAGTTGTGTTTAACTTTCTGATGCTCGGTTCAGGAACAAATATTGCTCACATAGTGTACTTTAAAAGCCAGACAGAAACTGAAAAAAGCAAAATGCTGAACTCTTGTTAGCAATGAGAGGCTAAGCAGGCGTGGGTTGGGGGAAATCAGACTTCAACTCCCTAATGGTAGTAATCATCAGATTTCCTAGTAGTGCACAATTTGCTTAAAACAAAAAGTCAGCTTTACCCAAAATACCCATGGAACTTTCTTTGTTAATTTGATTAAATCACAGTTCTATATATTTGAGCTCAATATTACTCTTTCTAGAAATCTTTCTCAGTCTTTCTTCGTAATATCCTTGCACTTTAAAGTAGCTTTATTATTTTGGGTTCTTTGGGAAATTTTGGTAAGCAATGCCCCTTTGGTAAGCAATGCTGAGATTATTTTTCGACATACATAACATAGCACAGACAAGTTCTTAAGATACCTTATTTCTGGCCACCGTAAAGAAATATCCCATGAAACTTAACCTCCACATTTTTCACCTGGTCTAAAGCTCTCACTTACAATACTTAAGCAAAACACTTGGCTGTAGTCACTCCCCCCTACTTAACATCATAGAGCTGAGTTCTCAATTAAAGTCCCACAGTCTGTAGGCAGTTATGGTCTTTCATATCGCAAGTGTATCTTCCACCCTTGCTTGCACACCTCACTTGGTATTTTTCCCCATGCTGCAACAAACCTGTAGCACTGCCCCATACAGAGTGGATGTAACTAACAATCTCTGATCCTGTCCAGTTGCTTTCTGTAACAAAAAATTTCAGATAGCACCTGTTCCTACCCCATGGCATTCCATCAACTCAGAGAGACAGCATTTAAATAACTTCTCAAAAGTCAGGTTTTCAAGGTCAGTCACTCCAAAAGATATCTTGTGTAAACTGTTACAT